TCAATATTCATGCTATTACTCCTAGTCTCTGTTGCTGGATGGAACTTTTTTCTCTTCTCTTCTTTTCTCTTCTCTTCTCTTCTCCCCTCCCCTCCCCTCCTCTCCCCTTCCCTTTCTTTTCTCTTCTTTCTTTCTTTCTTTCTTTCTTTCTTTCTTTCTTTCTTTCTTTCTTTCTTTCTTTCCTTCTTTCTTTCTTTCTTTCTTTCTTTCCTTCTTTCTTTCCTTCTTTCTTTCCTTCTTTCTTTCTTTCTTTCTTTCTTTCTTTCTTTCTTTCTTTCTTTCTTTCTTTCTTTCTTTCCTCCTTGCTTGCTTGCTTGCTTGCTTTTTCTTTTCTTTCTTTCTCTCTCTCTCTCTTTCCCTCTCTTTCTTTTCTCCTACTGCACAAAAGATGTACTCGCAAATTGTTAGAAAGGAAAGAAGAGATTTGGATCTTATATGACTCTCGGCTTGGGTGAAAGTTAGTGTGGGCATTAGAGAGTGCCTGGTTGGGGTAGGAGGAGGTATAGCATTCAGCCAGGAATTTCCACAGAATAGCCATCTCTTAAAAGACTGCCCTAGACACTTAATAGTCTGTAAGTACTGTCTACCCAAGACCTAGTGCCTGTCTGAATATCGAACCTTAGGCATAGATACCTGTAGCCTCAGAGGTCACTGAGCTGCCTCTGTGACTACCACCTTTTGAACAGAATGTGTCCCTGCTGCTCTGATCTCTCCAAGGCATCCAATCATGGATTCCATTACATTCTTACATTGAAACTACCTGTGCTATTGGCTGGCATTAATAGTTTGGATACTTCCTAACTTACTGAAGAGGTGGTAGATGTATCTGTGAGACTAAATAGTGGTAGTCTTCATTAAAAACTCTCTGATTCTTGCTCTTTAGTATATCTCAGTTCTTCAGGACTAAGGAACAAATTCCTTTATTCTGTATCTTACTAGTAGAAGAATACTGTTTTATGGAAACCCTAAGCTCTACCATTTTGTTAGTTACAATAAATTTAGGACACTTTTGTCTATCCTTCACACTCAACTGATACAAAAATCTTTGATATGTTTATTCAGCTTGAGACCATTGAATACATCAGATGTTATAAGGCATTGCAGAAAGGTAGGATAAAACTGTTGGTTAATGTTTCCCTAACATTGATAAGTACATTCTTATATTGAGATATCTAAAGAATGCCATTGAATATAAAGATAACAGTAGGATGCAAATAACACATGTAGACAATATGGAGACAAATATGAAGAATAATATATTTTAAGATTATTTTATCCTTTGACAGCCTCTCATTCAGTTAGACAGTAAAACTAGAAGAAACTACTGAATTCTAAAGTTCTAAAGATACAGTATCGGGCACAGGAATAATTTAGCCTTTGGTTTTTCTTGAGCCATATGAATTTAAGGAAGTTATTTTTTCTACCTCTGATGCATCTCTAAGCCTAATTTCTTCATCTATAAAATCCAGAATAGAACCGACATAGATGGGCTTTAACTTTCACACTTTTAAGTGTGAATGTAGGTATCAGTCAAGAAGAATAAAAATATATAACATCAAGGTGAAAATGACAGCTTCAAGTGGGAGAAAAGGAAAATGTGTAATAGAGTGCCGTAGGTTCTTACTGGAGATAGGAGAGTGTGCTCATCTAGCAGGAGAGGGGGACTGAATCTGAGAGTTGCCTAGTTGGTTAGACTAAGAATTCCCAAGAGTGGTTTATCCTTAAAAGGATAACCTCCACTTTCTCATGTACTGTTAGACCTAAACTACTTTTGTTGTTTCCATCCCAAACATGTGATATACTGGCCAAGAAGTGAGCAGCAAGAGTCCTACATATGCACATCCTAAATGACCTTTCTCTAATTTACTAAAAGCCTTTTAACTTTGCAATTGGAAAGGGAAATGAGCTGAATGAAGAGAAATTGTCTTGGCTTTCTTGTTGATTTACTGTATAACTATCTGGAATGCTACTTGTAGAATAATATGGGAAGAAATGACATCTTAACATTTTTGTCTTCCCATCCAAGAATATGGAATGTCTCACAATTATTCAAATTACCTTTTATGGTCTTCATTAAAATTTTTATCTTTTTTTTCATCTATGTTTTGTGTTATGGTTATCTCTGATAATATCAATTTATGGTTATTGTGAATAGGATATTTAAAATTACATTTTTTAAAAGATTTATTTATTTGTGAGAGAGAGAGAGAGAGAGAGAGAGAGAGAGAGAAAGAGAGAGCACGTGTGCAAGTGGGGGTGGGGACCAGAGGGAGAAAATCTTCAAGCCGACTCCCTGCTGAGTGCAGAGCACACCCAGGGCTCCATCCCACCACCAATGAGGTCATGACCTGAGCCGAAACCAAGAGTCAGACACTTAACTGACTAAGCCAACCAGGCGCCCCTAAAACTACATTTATTTACTAGTTAGTGCTGTTGTGTTAGATTTTTTAATTGTTTATCTAGTATTTAGCCACCTTGTTCTTTGCTCTTATGGTAATTCTAATAGTTTGTCTTTGAATTCTTTTGCATTTTATTGATATGGTCATATTCTGTATAGGTAATAGCATAATTTACTGTTTGCCTTTCTAACATTTATATCTTTTTTTAAATCCAATTTGTTGACATTGTCCTCTAATAAAACACTGAATACCAGTGGGGAGGGTTGACAATTATTTCTTTATTCTAAACTGATTAAGACATGAGCATTTATGGACCCCTATCACTTCCCCTCTGTTTTTCTCTTTCATCCTATCATGGTCTTCCACTCATGAGCAAATGAGAGCTTTGACTAAAAGAGGACTGAATTGATTTGCTTCATTTAGATGTAATCACATTTTTTCTTAGGAACTTCCTGTAATATTCCATGGCTTTTTTTTCCATATAAGTAACACTTTATACTAATTTGTTATTATGAGCATACCTAAATTGTTTATACAGTAATGCAGCATGAGATAACAGAAAATTGAAATGTGTTTGCTTTTACAGAAAATGAATGGATGATATAGTCAGTTTGCTATTTTGACAGCTTCACTATCAGCTTCTACTCCCCCAAGTTGTCAATATACCCAAAATTAACAGCTCCTCACCCTCTCTGTTGTTTCTAATTTGAGAAGACTAAAAAAATTAGATCTCAAAACTCAGAATTGCATATAAGATGAGAATAAATGAGATATCAGTGAGAATAAGAGTATTTGCCTCTGATAATTAGCCTAGCATAAATCAAGATTTTTGAAGTGTTTACAGTATTTGCTTAGGGGCCTTTTGAGCTTATTTCCAGGTATTGGCTGTTTGGGGGAGTTGAGGTTCTTAGAAGAGTAGTGTGTTAATGTGTTAGAGTATATCCTTAATAAGGAGAACACTCTTGGGGTGCCTGGGTGGCTCAGACGGTTAAGCGTCTGCCTTTGGCTCAGGTCATGATCCCAGGGTCCTGGGATCGAGCCCCACATCAGGCTCCCTGCTGAGTAGGGAGCCTGCTTCTCCCTCTGTCTGCCTGCCGCTCCCCACTGCTGGTACTCTCTCTCTATCAAATAAATAAAGTATTTTTAAAAAAAGAGAGAGAGAACACTCTTGTCCCTTAGGAAAGTAACTTTTGTGACAGGCTGTCTTTCTTCTGATGGTTGCCTCATTGTGGGTGGAACTGAAAAGACTAATGTGTTATGGGCTACATACACATTTTACAGCTAACCATCGTTATCCGACAGTCTTATTCTTAATGATGGTACCTTCTTTTTTTTTTTTTTTTTGGCTCGTCTTTGTACTTAAATGTCCTTATAGAGTCTTTCTTTGATTCACTGTATCTAATTATTTAGCAACCAAAAGAGAGCTAAGTACGACAGGTCCCAGTGTTACATTCACCACCTCTTAAGTATTGGTTCTGCTTGTATTCATCATCTTAATTCACATTTATTCAATACTTGTTTCCTTCTGGTGTTATCGCTTTCCCTATAAACTGACTGGACTTTAATTGTGACTTTGACTAATCACTTTGTTTGCTTTTGGATTTAGAGTAAAATAGGAGAAACAACAGTATTTGGAACTTTTCTGTGGGCTAGCTTTCTTGATCATCTCCAATAAAATCCTGAGTCTGCTAATCAGGGCAAATGTCAGTGAAAATAATCCACAACACCCACATTCTTATGAAGGCAATAAAAAATATGGAGGCCACAATGACTCGCAACTTTTGCTGAACAGAATATGAAACCGGTTTTTTTCATTCCACTCTCAAACTTCTCACTGGTAGAAAATAAAAGATCAGAAATCTATAGGAGATAAGTTGTTTGAAAGATAATAACAGCTTTGTTAGCAAATTAAATAACTCTAGTTATAGTGCTAAAAGAAGTTTGGCAGTTGAGATGTGTTACAAACTATGATACTTGGAAAAGGAGTGGCAATGAAAACCTAATTTCAAGTCTGGAAATTTTAGCTGGTTAACCAAATGTTGAGACTGAATCATTCGGTTCCCTCAGATCAGATTTACCATTTTGTTTTTATAAGATGAAATCAGAAATAGCAGAGCTCTTCAAAAGTCCTTGGTAAATGACCTGTAAGTAATGGGTATTGATGGCCCACTCTTTATTAACTGTTCTTTCACCTCTGCCCTGACTCTGGGGACTCAGGACTGGGTGTTGGTTCTCCTGAGTCAGTGCTCAGAGGCAATTCCACATTGGTTTTCCTTTTCTTGCCTTCCGGAAGATGGTTACTCCAGTGTGCACTGTTTTATCAGTCTGTGAAAGCACAACCTCCAGTGAACTGGAAACTAAGTTACCGGTGGGTCAGCTCTTCCAACGTATTCACATACTTTTTTTTTTTCTCTCTATGAAATAAATAGCTGTTTATTTATATGCTAACTTGTATAATTCCCCGTTTTCCTTAAGATTAGATTATGGGATGTGCTTTCATGATTTAATAAACAAGGGCTGTTTTAAAATGATGAGATGATACTGTGTTTTTTTCTAGACAGTGGTGCAGATTAGTCTGACAGTTTTTCTTTCATCTTTAAGGTGACGACCCTTGTCAACACAAGCAACAAAGGCCCATCTGGTAAAAAGAAAGGGAGGTCAAAGAAAGCCCATGTACTGGCTGCATCTGTAGAGCAAGCCACTCAAAACTTCCTGGATAAGGGTGAACAGATAGCTAAGGAGAGTCAAGATCTCAAAGAAGAATTGGTCGCTGCGGTAGAGGATGTACGCAAACAAGGTAGGAAGAATAATATTGTTCAAGAGGGATCTATACTGATGTGCAAACAATCAATTTATCTCTAGAACCAATGCATATTTGCTCAAAGAAGTCGTCTTATGTTTTTCCTCAGTATCTGCACTTGTCATTTTTAATATTTGCTGGAATTAGGTGAATAGACAAATAGAGATATTTTTAGTTGTGGTTGTGTAGCTCAGCTATGAAAGCTTTCTGTCTGCTGTTACTTCCAAGTTTTCAAGTTGTTTTCCTCGGTAGATGAACACAGACTCTTGTGTCAAACTGAGGCTCCAGGGAGGACAGGGTGAGAACGCCTCATACTTAGCAGAGTCACTGAACACCCAGGGTTTTAATGAGGAGGGAGGACATGATTGTAAAGCAGTGTAGTAAAATTATTGTTGCTTTGTATGATTTTCAAGTTTATATCTTCAGTTCACAGCTAGTTAGCTCTCTATGGATCAGTTAATTATATAGCTAGCTAGTTAGCTAAAATGTAGTTTTTCAGCATACTTAAAATTTTTAATTGTGGTAAAATACCCATAACATAAAATGTACCATTTTAACCTTTTTTACACTGTATAATTCAGTAGTGTTAGGTATATTGACATTGTTGAGTAGCCAATTTCTAGAACGGTTTCATCTTGTAGTACTGAAACTCTATACCTACAGAACAACAATTCCTCATTTTCCTATTGCCCTAGCCCCTGGCAACCACTCTTCTACTTTTCTATGAATTTCACTACTCTAGATACCTTTTATAAGTGGGATCATATAGTATTTGTGACTGATTTTTTTCACTTAGCTATCTTCATGGTTCATCCATGTTGGAGCATGGGTCAGAATTTCCTTCATTTTTAGGACTGAAAATATTCTAGTATATGTATATACCACATTTTCTTTATCCCTTCATCCCTTGATGGGCATGTGTTTCTTCTACCTTTGGCTATTACCCCCAGCCTGGCCCCCCTACTGTGTTTCCTATCTCAGTAAAAGCCGTCATGTGTATCCAGTTGCGCACTGCAGAAATCTTGATATCGTTCTTGTTATTTTTCTCTCCTTTCAAATACAGTCTATTACAAAGTCCCATAGATTTTTAACTCCAAAATGTCTCTTAAGTGGACCAATTCCTGTCTTATTTATTCAAGGTACCATGTTTTACCTGCCCCTGGGCTTTAGTACATGCTCTCTCCTTTTACATGGTTAAGGATGACTCATCTGCACGTCCCAGCTCAAAGAAAACCTTCCCAGGGAAACCTTTCCTGACACTCCTGTCATACTTTTTCATGGTTTTTTCCATTATCACTTTGCACAGGAGAATTTAATATTTGTGAAGTAACCTGATTGATAACTTTCTACCATGACACACTATAAATTAATAAAGATAAAGACCAGACTGTGTCTCTTTTGCTGATCCATGCTTTGCAGTTCTTAGCAGTCATAAGACTTGAATGAATATTTGTTGAATAAATGAAGCAATAGATGAATAAATGTTCTATACCTTTTCTTCTTACAAACTTACCACTTTTTAAATTCACAGATGGATATTTAGTCCCTGGAAATACCAACCCTCCTTCTTCACCAACAACCATTATTTTTCATGCTGCCATCTTTTTCCCTGTCTTCTCTCCCCTGAAAGTTAATTTCATTTACATTACTCTAATATAAATTGTTATGTAATTTGAAATGTTAAATTTTACATATTTCATCTAATGTGGATGGAGTATATTTGTATATGTGTTTTAACAACATGAAAGCTTCCAAATTTTCAAGTGCTGTTGAAGACTGGTAATCCTTCTGAATTGCAAATGTACCTTGTTTGTTTTAATGCATATGTAGTTTTCTTTTCTTTCTTTTTTAGGGTGAGTGCATACATTTAAGTGCACTATTTTATAAGCTTTGACAAATGAATACACACTGTAAAACCATCACCACACTCAGGATAGTGAACCTATCCCTAGTGAAGAGGGCTTTGATTAGTCCCTGGGATGCTTTCTCAGAGCATTTATCTTTTATGGTGATATATTTTCCCTTATAGTGTTTTCAACAATCTTTCAGCTTTCCCTTATTTTTCCTCACAATTTAATTTTCACACATTCTGTAGAAATTAATATTTCAGTTTTCTCAAAGCTTATATAAGGAATGCTTTTTTTTTTTTTTTTGGACATGATATAAAAACCAACATAGTTCTTAGCCAGCCTGTCCAGGAGATATGAGAGTGAGATTTTTTTTTTATTTTAAAAGATTTTATTTATTCATTTGAGAGAGAGCACAAGCAGAGGGAGAGTGAGCAGGAGAAGCAGGCTCCCTGCTGAGCTGGGAGCCTGACACAGGGCTTGATCCTAGGACCCTGGGATCATGACTTGAGCCAAAGGCAGATGCTCAACCATCTGAGCCACCCTGATGCCCCAAGAGTGAGATTTTTTAAAGATGCTAGTTTAGGACAGCTTACAGAGGTCACTCTTATGGAGGATATTTTAAACTTTCTCTATATTATCCACTTCTTATTATAGAAAAATTATGCGTCAGAAATGATGCCTATGAGTTGACTGTATACAAGTCCCACTAGTGGGGGCGCCTGGGTGGCTGAGCCCCGCATTGGGCTCCCTGCCCTGCGGGGAGTCTGCTTCTTCCTCTCCCTTTGCCTCTCTCTCTCAAATAAATAAATAAAATCTTTTAAAAAAATAAAAAAATAAATAAAAGGTCAACTATCACGTGTCCCTTTTGCTGAACAGTGTCAAATTTAAGGAAACATTGTTATAGTCTGCAAAATAGCAAACATTCTCCGGGCAAAAGTTTTAGAAATTTTCTTTTCCTGGGGAGTCTGGGTGGCTCAGATGGTTAAGCATATGCCTTTGGCTTGGGTCATGATCCCAGCGTCCTGGGATCGAGCCCCATGTCTGGCTCCTGGCTCAGCAGGGAGCCTGCTTCTCCCTCTGCCTCTCCCCCTGCTCGTGCTTTCTTTCTCTCTCTCTCTCTCTGTATCTCTGTGTCTCGAAGAATAAATAAAATCTTTAAAAAAAATTTTTCTTTTCCTGTTTCTCTCATTGTGAAATATCTCTCACTCTCTCTATATAGAGTTCAGATGCCTGTCTATGTGAGAGATGCCTCTTGTGCCTGACAACAGAGTCCTCAGGCTCTCCTTTCTCTTCTGTGCCCCTTCTCAGTTCTTAGTGTATCTCCTTAGCCCATCTGGTTTTGCCCAATTTTCCCATTGGCCCATACCCAGATTTTATTCACAACTGAAAGCCTGGGTTGATTTTCAGAGAGAGATAAGGAGATCAAGGGGAACACCTAAGGATTAGAACAGGACTATTTAGTTATTGGAAACTTTGAAACTTAGTATCTTTCCTTCCATCATGGAAGTCTACTTTCTTACCTGTAAGATGATATTCAGAAATTATGAGAGTGCGGCCATCTAGAAGTAATATCCTCCTATAAAGTGGCCCTAGTATCTGTATATGCTCACTTATCAAATAATGTGTAGTTTAGAACTAAATCTATGAGAGGGGATCTTTTACTATTGAGTTGTTTTTGCTTTTTTAAATCAAATGATCTGAAAGTGTTGCCACTTTCTAAATTATGTTCAGCACAAATCAATGCCAGAAGTTTTAATATTGTACAACTGCATTTTCAGACTTTTAATACAGAACCATTTCTTATTGGGGTTTTTCTGAGATTTTACAGCATCCATGATTATAATCACTGTAATATGGCAAGATTATATATGAAATTATCTATTTATGCCATTATTGTTTCTAGGCTAGACTTAGTGTTATTTGAATTTCTTTATCATTTGAAAAATGTATTATCTCTTTTAAACCTGAGCTGTATGCCAGATTCTTAAAAATGCTCAGTATGAGGGGTGACAATATTTTTACTAAAAGTATATTATTCCAGTAGAAGATTTTCCTGTGCTTTTAAGTTCTAACCTGCAAAAAGAAGTGTGCGAGTACATGTACGATAGAGTTTCTGTTAAAAACAAGTAACAAGGGTGCCTGGGTGGCTCAGTTGGTTAAGCAACTGCCTTCAGCTCAGGTCATGATCCTGGAGTCCCGGGATCGAGTCCCGCATCAGGCTCCCTGCTCAGCAGGGAGTCTGCTTCTCCCTCTGACCCTCTTCCCTCTCGTGCTCTCTATCTCTCATTCTCTCTCTCTCAAATAGATGAATGAAATCTTAAAAAAAAAGAACAAGTAACAAAACTAAATCATCGAAATATGTATTAAAGAAGATAAATCATTGTACTCAAAATTTAGAACTCTGATATTTTAGACTTAGGTATAGATGGGATATTTGGTCAGAGGGGTGTGTGTGTGTGTGTGTGTGTCTGTGTGTCTGTGTGTCTGTGTGTCTGTGTATCCGGGTAACTGTTTTATCATAGCTAAAATAAAGTAATTACATATATGTATATTGTCTTCCTAAATTAAGTTTAAACTTCATCAGGATAGGAACAATGATGTGTATGTGTTTTTTTCTACTCCTAAAGTACTTAGCATGGTTGCTCTAGCACATGGCAGGTGATACTCAGGGGAAGGAGGCTTGCATGTCAGCAAAGCAGGCTTACAAGTCAACAGAGCACCAGATGTTTGGTTAAGATACCTGATTTCTAATGTTACTTTAGCCAAAAGCTACATGATTTAAACTCAATCACTTAACCACTTGAAGCCTCAATTCCTCCAGTTTTCAAATACAGACAGTAATTGTTGCATTTTCCTCACTGGATTGTTTAGCATAATGAAGTCACAAAGAGATTATAAAAACATTAAATGTCATATAGATGTGAGGTATATTTATTAATTACAATTTATCAAAATAATCTGTACTGCCTATGGCAATAGCTCTCTTTCCTATCACTGAGCAGTCCTGGGCCTTCCAGGCAGGATGCTGGAGAGCTGAATCAGCATCTAGTAGTCTCCCAGAAGGGGACCAAGTAGCTCAGTTTGGCTTGGGTTTGGTGGTAGTTGTGTGTGGTCCCAGAAAACTGTGATTTAATAGTTGTGCAGCCA